GGTTATTAGTGTTCAGTGTTTAAAAGCTTTTCTTGGGATGGTCTCTAAATTCAGGTGGGATATTCATACATTGGCTTTCATGGACTTGTTTTAATATTCCTCATTTTCAACTTTAAGTCACATATGAACAAGGAGCTCTGGTAGTGTAGTGGTTACGAATCGGACTGTGAACCTTAAGGTCAGTGGTTCGAAACTACCAGCCGCTCCGCGGGAGAAAGATGAGGCTTTCTACTCCCGTAAGGATTTACACCCTCGGAAACCCTGTACATAGTCGCTATGTGTCGGAACCGACTCAACGGCACTTAACAACAACAACAACAATGAACAATTGATGATCTGCTTCACAGTCGGCCCATGGCCAACTGATGATACTGAGCTTCTCCATCATCTTTTTCCACAGACGTAGTCAGTGTGATTCCTATGTATTCCATCTGATGAGATCAACATGTATAGCTTCTAAATTTGTTGTTGAAGCATGGTATTTGCAATGACTATGTCACTGGTCTTGCAAAATTCTGTGATGTTATTTCTGGTGTCTTTTCTATGTCCAAGGCCCTATTTTCTAACTATGGATTCTTCTTTATTTCCAATTTTCACATTCCAATCATCAGTAATTATCATTGCATCTTGACTGCATGTTTGATCTATTTCAGACTGCAGAAATTGGTGAAAATCTTTACTTTCTTCACTTTTGAAGTTAGTGATTGTTACATAAATTTGAACTATAATATTAATTATATGTATATGTATGTGAATTTTATCCTATCACTGACAGCATTGTACTTTAGGATAGATTTTGAAATGTTCTGTTTAATAATGAATGTATTGTGTATGTATTTAAATGGCATATTTTCCAAGGCAGAAATGAATACATTTTTATTTCTTTACAAGTTTGTTTCCAGTGATTGCATTTGCCTATCTGTCCTCAGAAATTCTATTACCATTTAAAACAACCATATTTTACAGTAATTGCTGAGGAAACGTTTTTTCATAAATTTATTGCAAAGTACTTTGAATGTCTAAAGTTAACTAAAATAGTGGCTAAGGAAGAACTAATAGAAAATAAATCTTACAGTTTCTTGTTTAATATTTCATTTTAAAACAAAAATGATTGTACTTTTAAAAGAAAAAATACATAAATTCTTTTAGTATTTTCTTATCTTTGATCAGGGAGTGAATATTGAGAAGAACAATATTCAAATATGAAAATACCTGTGTATAAATATACCTTTGGAGCAAATGATATTGATGCCATCAGATTTGGGGGAGTGCTTTTGGAAAATACAGGAAAAATATAGACATTGATAAAATCGAAGTTATTCAGTATTATTAATTATTAATTGATTCCTTTATTTTTTATATAAATGAGAAGGTTTTTACTAGATTTGAAAAGGAATTTTATCAGAAAGAAACTTGGAATCCCCCCAAAATGATAGTATACCATACAATAAATTCTAATCATTTTCTTGCTAGTGTTTATTCTGCCTTGTGTCATAGGCAGTTTGTTCAGTTTTAGGCTTATCCATTGAAGAAATCTTTTCTGTGACTCTGGCCAAAAAATATCCAATGGGTGTGTGCCATTTGTCTTTAATATTACTATCACTAATAGTGAAGAGTGGCGACTCTAAGTTTATTATCTGTGTCTGCACAAAAATGCATACTTCTAAAAAAAAAAATCAGTGAATCAAGTTAAATATTTGATTGTTTCAAGAAATAAGTGTTCATGGAGAGAGAATCACTCTAATTGAAGACAAATAAAAAAATAACCTTATAACTGTATCTTCTTAATGTGTATATAAGGAACCTGAAATTGAAAGAGAATCCAGAGAAAAACATTTCCACAGGGAGCGCAGTGGCTCTGTACAACAAACACTGGACTGCGAACCACAAGGTCAGTGGCTTGAGCCCAGAGAAGGATGAGGCTTCCTGCTCCCCTAAAGATGTACAGTGTCAGAATGGTCACTGTCGATTAGAACCAACTGATGGCACTTAACAACAATAACAACCAGTGATTTGTGTTGTTTCATTGAAATTTAGCAGAATTCTGTAGAGTTCAATTGTTCTATATTTTCTAGGCACATGAAATTTGAAGTTATTGTTTACCTCTAACTAATATATCTTAATTTTGTGAAGTTCTCAATAAATGACCACCTTTATTCGTACACATTTACAGTGTGGTGGAAACATAGAAAAATCGCATTATTTCACAGAAAGAGAAATGGAGGTCTGCCAAGTGCAAAGTCAAAATGTGATTGTCATAAGTCAAACCCATCACCTGTGACTCCCAGACTTGTATTTAGGTCTCTAAGACAACTTTCTCTTCAATGGAAAAATCCTTATAAATAAATCCAATGTTTTTTGCAATGCTATTTGCAGTGCCAAAGAAATTGTCCTAATCACCATTGACTTTTAAAATCTCATCTGCCATACTTATTTGAAAGGCTGCTCTTGTTCCTAGAAGACCTGCAGGAGCATATGGCATTTTCCTGGATGCCGCAGATAACTGTGGGACAGGAATCAAAGCTATAGAACTTCCATCCAGAGCGGCTTCCTAGACCACCTCAGGGGGTTTGCCAGGCCCTGTGTCTGCCTGGAGCTCCAGCAGCAGGGCTGGGCAGTGGGTAGTTAAATTGGGGGTGCTGGGATTCCTGTCGTCTCCAAACAGCAGTCTGGGGGAGATGAACAGAGCTGTTTTCCAAGGGATGACTCATCTCCTTCCTCTCCCCAGAGAAGCACCAGGGCCTCAGCCACCCTGACCATACCTGGTTGAAGCTTGAAAAAAAAGAGCAGTGAGTCCTCAGCAGGTAAGGGCCTGCCAAGTCTCTGAGCCAGGTCGACCCCACAAACCAAGTTTAAGCCAGAGCCTGGGCACTTGGTAGGGCCTCAGTAAATGCATCTGGTGGGTTTTGGCCTGCAGGGAAGGTAGCCTGACATGGGAGGAGAGGAGAGAAAGATGAGTGGCAGCCTTTAGTCTTCTAGGAAGACTGCTAGCCAGTCTAATTCAGAACAGGTACTAGCACTTTCTAGCAAATTAAAAGTTAGATAGTTTTTTGTTTTTGTTTTTGTTTTTACTTTATTGGATGCAATCTATATACAACAAAATTCATCCATTATTAGTGTGCAATTCAATGATTATATTAATCACAGTGTTGTACAACCATCATCACAATCTTAGTCTAAATGATTTCCATCACTCCAAACACTTCTTATTCCCCAACCTTAGTAGACACTGTTTCTGTCTCTGTAGATTTACTTTCTCTGGGTGTTTCATACAAATAGGGCCATACAGTTGTGTGCCTGCGGTCAGAAAGCATGTACTTGCAGAACATGCCCTTTGGACATTTAAATGAATTTTTGTTTGTTTGTTTGTTCTGGTCTATTTTATATGTGTGCATCAAATACTTTTGCTTTGTTCATTTGTGAAATATAAGATGTAGATGGGGAAACACGGAGGAAGTGGGATAACCGTTGTTGTGAGGACAGGATTGTAACCAATGAGATGAGATGGGATGTATGATTTGTTGAATGGAAATCCCATGGTCTTGTCATAACCCTTCACTCAATTCACTATAAAACGTTAAGAGAAAAAAAAAATTATCTGCCAGTGCCCTAAGCCAACTCAAGGTATCATAAAAAGAGGTTGCATACATACTAAATTTCTAGTTTCTAAATATACTACTACAAAGTGAAGTCTGAACTGCCTGTTTTTTTTGGGTATTGTAAATTTTCCACTTTTGACATGGTACAACCTTACCATTTTTCTACTGCTCTCTATAAATGAAAACTATTTCAGTTTTCTTTCTCTGAGAGGTTTTCTACCTTACACAGGTTCCATCTTTCACAGGTTTTTCTATATTTATATTTGAGGCAACATAAAAGTACTTGCCCTTCTATATTTATATTTGAGGCAACATAAAAGTACTTGCCCTTCTATATTTGTATTTGAGGCAACATAAAAGTACTTGTCCCTTTCCTTAACCCAGTGTCATACAAACAAAATATATTACTTTCGGTGGTGGGTTCCCTTACATAAAATGAGTCTTCCCTTACATAAAATGAGTAAAATAATATTTCCTTCTTCCCAAGAGAGAAAAGTCAATCAGATGAAACAAAACTCCAGAATTTCAAGCTAGAAAGAATACTAGGCAACATTATTTTAAACTACTTTTTAATGATGATAAATGTATAGAGGTTTCCTTGGGATTAGTTGCCTAGTATCAGTTTATAAATCAGTGCTAAATCCAACTGTACTGATTCTCAGATTAAGGACTATTTCCATAGTAGAATGCACTGAACACTTTAGAGAAAGGTTAGTAAAAGCTGTAATATGTTAAGAGCAGAAACTTCTATTCACCCACTTTATTATGGAAGATACATGTAGATGTCATCAATAAAATTACTTTACATAATGAGTCTCTTAAACATATTAGAACTCTAATAAATATAATCAGTGTATGCGGTGGGTGTTAGCATTATCCTCCTCAAGGTAATTTTATAATGTATGATTATCCTCAATCTCTGAAAACACAAATTTATGCCTTGATATATTTCTCTGAGTCACTTTCCTTTCGTAAGTGATTTACAAATAATAGGAATCATTTGTAACATAGGATAAAAAAATCCTAATTCTTTTTGAAATATGAAAACTTGAAACATGCACAGATTATGTGACTAACTATACTATTATTTATACAAAAATGAGGATTTGGGGGTTATAGATGAAAAATGAGAAAAATGTGTCCCCTTAGTAGAAAAATAAAGTGGAGCTGAAATAAACATGAAACAATTTTAGTTAAAATGAATTTGGTATAATTCATAGGAGAAGAGCAGCATCACAGATTACATTTCATTAAAAACAACTACTAAAGAGATATTAGTGATAAATTACTACTATTGTGGATATCTTGAAAAATTATAATACAGAAAAATCAAGTTAATATAAATAGGAAGAAAAAGATTAGTTTCCCACCTGTAGGAATTTTATATTCATGTGCACCTACCTTGGGGGAGATATGGCCGTCCATGTACCAACTCTGTGAAGACCATCACAGATAACAAACTTAGAACTCCAAAACAGAGAGGGGTTAAGAGGATCCTGTTCATGTCTAAAATCTTTTGTCTTCCTCCTTAGCAGAGAAAATGACTCTTCCGATTAAGAAGGATATTGCAGTGACTCTAGAATATAACAGAGCTTGCTTTTTAAAGGTGGCAAGTGTGCTTCGACTACAAATGTTCTGGACATAGGAGAGAGAAAAAAACATAAAATGGAATGCATCCTGTCAACATGATTCATTACTTGGAGAAGTGACAGGTTTGCTACATAGCCAATGATAGGAAGAACCTAATCGATACAGCTCATATCTGCCCATTTCACTAAAAGCAGGCATTCCTATGCATGCCTGCACACTCAGACACCGGCACAAACATAAAGCAAAAACTGGGATTGCCAAACTAATTGATTAGATTTACAAAATTTATTGTAGAATGCCTTGGTGTCAAGGTTTAATTCACTTCAAATCCTATTAATACTAAGGCTGAGCATATACAAGGAAGGTGAAAATGGGAATCATGTTTTTCATTTTGTCTAAGTAACCAGATAGTGTGGTCTTCCAGATAGCAATACTGTTTGTAGTGATTGCTTTTTTCTTAAGCAATCAAATAGATTTGAGTTGAGAAGAGCTCGAATCCGAAATGAATCATAATGAGAACATTACAGCCTTACTGCGTTAGAGAGGGATGGGTTCATTTTGCTGCAACCAGCACTTTTACAAATTGAAGCAAAATCTAATTAATTCAAAGTTGGCAAATGTCCTATCAAATCCTCTCTTTAAGACTTACTTTTAGTGCTACATTTAAGTCAAAGTCTTTCAGTGTGTCTTCAATTCCAATTTTATTACTATGACTCCAAAGATGTTAGACTTACCCTTGGCCTTAGCATTTACACCTTCTCCTGAGAGATTTTAGATATTGTTGTTGTTGTTGTTAAGAACCAAGTCAGTTTTGACTCATAGCAAATATGTGTAAGGTTTTGAACTACCAACTTTTCAGTTAGCAATCCAATGCTTATTCTACAGCACCACACCAGGACTCACAAGTGACTTTAGACACTTGGAGTTGTTTTTCTTTCAGTCTCATGATCCACTATGTGTTTTCATGCACCAGACGTATTAGATGCTTAAATCCCAAGCATGGACTATAGGCTCTTCACTCCCAAGCTTTGTTGACAAACGTCTGTCTACTTTGACCATTTCAACTATTAAAATACAACTTATTCCTCAAGTCTCAGATCAAATGCCATCAGCTTTAGTTAGTCTTTTGGGTTTTATACATTCATTCATTCATTCATTTACATTGTTTTCACCTGTGTTTTGGTTTGGTTTTTACTCCTTTGTACTGCCAAGCACTTTGCTTAGCACAAAAAAATCCAATCCTTCTTTTATCATACTTATGCGTAATGTAAAGTTATAAATTCTAAACGTCATTTAAAATAATTATAAATACTTTGAGAGTCATTACTATCATAGTAATTTATGTACTTTTCGCAGGTAGCAGTAAGTTAAAGAAAAAAGTAAATAAAAACATGTTCAATGTGTGAATAAATCATAACAGGAATTTCTGGTAACTGCAAGGTAAAGTAGTATAATATCCTTAGACTTTATACCTGCTGTAAAGCTAAGTGAGTCAAAAGAATTACAACTCTTTATGAGTCTGTTTTTCTTAAGCCTAAAACTCAAGAATGAGCAATGCCTCTGAAACTTAGTCTTAAATTTTTATCAGATAGTATAGTGCTTCACAACTCTGTGTCATTTATATATGTTGTTATTGTTAAGTGCCGTTGAGTCGGTTCCCACCCATAGC